AGACTGCCCTTTTCTTCCTGGCTCCCAGCCCTTTATTCAGATAATGAGACCCAACAGTGAACGTGTTGGGCACAACCCACCTGTGATGGCAAACACAGCACAGGGGAGCCAAAAACCTTCCCCTGGGCTGAGTTTTCCTTGTGTTCTGACCACGGGAAGCTGATCTGTTCTCCCTGTTGTGTGTTTAGGCATCCTTACGGAGTATGCTGCCCCCAGGAGTGCCAGACAGGTTGCGCACCTGCTGAGCTGTAAGTAAGAAATCCAGCCCCTGCACTTCCCTCCTTAGAGCCCGGAAGAAGCTGAGAAGCTGCAGGGACCGACCCCTCCCTGTGCTTTGGAGCCCAGTTCATCCGCTGTGCCCTGAGGATAACCTAAGAGAGCCTTGCCCCGAGCAGGCAGCTCCCATTCCCCTGGAGCAGCAGGGTGCAGCATGGAGGAGCTGAAGCGTCCCCTGACTGCCCTGCCCAGCCCCCCCCCCAGCCACAGCTGCCCAAGCCCCGGCCTCACTTGGCTTCCAAGGGTCCCTCAGGTTGGGGAAAGTTGTAGCCGGTGCCACTGCCAATCCTCCTCTGGGCAGCCTGTCTGTCAAGTCCCTTCATTAGGTGCAGACCAACATGAACCAGGCCTGTTCCACACCAGGTCTGAGTGCCCAGTCATGTCCCCTTGGCAATGGCAGCTTTTGGGAAGGTTTCTGGTGACAAAGGCAGGATAATCCTGTCAGTGGAAGCTGTTGAGAATTTCAGCCTTCCTCCATGGGCAGCAAAGCTGCTCAGTGCCCAGCAGAATTGGCATCTCCCCTCAGCTGGGAATGCAGGAAGCTCCCAGTGGAGCAGCCACAGCCATGTCTGTGTGGGAAAGTTTCTGTAGCTTGGGACCCAGAGAGACCACGAGTCTGGGGCTGTTCGAGATGCTGGTGATGAGATGATGCGAGTAACACTGCATCCATTGTGCGCTGCCCACCCGCGCATCATGCCAGAGCCCGGTTCCCCAGGGATGGCCTTGCTCTGGCGCTGCCAGCATGTGTGACCAGTGTTCCCCGGAAGTGGAAGTGTCTATTCACTAATATCTCCCTCTCCTTCCAGCTCTGCAAACTCTGGGACAGGACACCTCACAGGAGGTCCAAGATGTGGCCACTCAGGTTGCAGAGGCTATTTCTAAAAGCCCTTGGGGCAGCATATTGCAAGAAGAGGAAAACCATGGGCATACCCTTCCCTATATCACCTCATTGCTTTGTTTTGGGTGGCTAAGGCCCCGCTCCATTTAAAAGCAAGCTCCTGTATTTGTATATGTTCAATTATAAATTGTGTTCTGCCTTCTCCTGACTCTTGTTGCTTCTCTCCTCCTGAACACAGCAGGGGAGCAGGGTGCAGCCTTGTAGCTTCAGGAGTCTGCTTGGTTTGGGCTTTATGGTCAGGTTTGGGTAACTTACCTTTTGGTGGGGTTGTGTGGGCAGTGAGCTGGGAATAGGTGTTACCACATGTTAACCAGAAAGTGGGACTCTGCCAGGCAGACAGGCTAGGAACAGATGTTTGGGGACGTTAGGGGGAGGATAGATTGGGTTAAAAATGGCTGCCTGATCTAACTGAACTTTTATACAGTTCCCAGAACAGCCCTGGGGTTTAGAAAGCCCAGCCACTGGCCCCTGCCCTGGGGCTGCTCTTTTCCTAGCCCCCACCCCCTGACACCAGGTTATTTTTAGCCCCCTAACCCCTGTCCCCCACGCCACCGCTCGTGGACCATCCAGCCACCCTAGACTACCAAACGCTAGACAGAGGCAGTGGGGCAGAGAGCCCAGCCCGCAGTAGCAGCCTGCCTCTGCCCTGCTGACAAATCTGGCCCTGCCTCCTTCCGGTCAGCTGACTGGGGAGAGGTGCTAGCGGTGTCAGTTTTAGCCGTGTTGGTCTAAGGACACGGCACTGGCAGACAAGGTTCTTTGGGTCAATCTGATATCTTTTAGTAGACCAATTGAATAGTTGGAGAAAATGTATCTTAGCAAGCTTTTGGGTTGAAAAACCCTTCGTCAGGCTGCGGAAGCACCTGCAGTTGGTGTACGTGCTGTTCTTGGATGGAAGAAATAGTAAAGAAGCCAAAGGCTGGCTTGTAATACAGGCAGGAAAGCCAGTCCGTGAAAATGGAAATGGAGGCATCAGCAGAGGGACGACAGGCTGCGATGGGTGGAGAAAGGGGGATGTAGCACGTAAAAGTGGAGAGGTGCCTGGCGAGTCAGATGTCTGGCAGGTTCTAGTGTGTCATAATTCCAATGTCTATATTGAGTCCATGAGTTTCTGTACCTAGGAGGTTGATGAAGTGCAGTTCATAGGCTTGCCCATGGAAAGTGGTTTGTAAATTCAAACAAGAACTGAACCTTGCTAATCTCATCACCAGACGTCAACTTCCTACAGCCCAAAAGACACTGAATAGATCCTGGCCATGCCATGACAAGACATGCAAAACCTGCCAACAATATCTCCAGTATGGAGATATCTTCACAATACATATCTGCATCATGTATATCCTGATAGAAAATACATAGGAGACACAAGCAACAACTGTACACCAGAATGAGCGTGCATCAAAAATCTATCAAAGACAAGAACACTCAACTACCTGTCTCCAATCTCTCAGGCCTGATCCTCAAAGTGAATTTACAAACCATTTTTCACAGATGAACCTATGAATTACTCTTCATCAACCTCCTAGCTACAGAAATTCATGGACTCAGTATAGACATTGGAATTCTGACACACTACAACCTGAGTGCTACCTGCCTGATGGTGGGTTCTGGTGCCTCTGGGCCGCACCATGGAAGCCATGCCCTTGTCTCACGTTGGCAGCACCTGTGGTGGAGGAGGAGACTGGCCGGTGGATGGTGTGCTGGCACGGGACAGTGGATCTCCCCCTTCCATGTCTCCCCTCTGCCGCCCTTCTGCCTTCCTGACTCTCTTCACCAGCACCTCCGTCCACTGATCCATGGCTTTGCTGCTGCATACCCTTGGGTCACACATGGTGGCCAGCATATGCACCGTACTAGACCGCAAGGGATCAAGCCATTTCCTGATGCCCTCCTTCAGCCACCTCACCAGTGCCTGCACGTCTGGTAACAGTGGCTTGCCCCAGCCAGGAACATTGATCCCTTGGAACTTCTCCATTTGGTTCTCCAGTTCCCTCACTCTAGGGATCACCTAGCTAAGGAGGGCATCGCCAGTGCTGAGGCTCTTGGTGGCCTCAAGGAAGGGCTTGAGGACCACCAAGATCTGGGAGATGGTATCCCACTCAGGGCTTCTGATCCCAATCTCCCCAAGCAAGGCCATCTCATGGATGGCCTACTGTTGCTCCACCAGCCTCTCGATCATCAGGTATGTGAAATTCCACCGAGTCTCCACATCCTACATAATGTTGTGCTGTGGGTGGTTCAGCTCTGTTTGTTTGTCCTGCAGCACCTTGCTCCCCTTGATACTCCAGTGGAAGTAGCCTGTCACCTTCCTGCATTTGGAAATGAGCTTGCTGGTGGTGCTGGCGCCGTCACTGGCAGCCCTGTCTCCCTCCAAGGCATCCCTGGCAACGAGGTGGAACTTGTGTGCCACACAGTGGATGTCAACAAAGTTGGCATCATGGACAGCCTTGACCATATTAGCCCCATCATTGGCGACCATAAACCTACAGGTGAGCTCACCCTGCTCAACAAACCACCCCTGCACCAAGTGGTTTATGACCCCCATGATCTCTGTTGCTGTGTGGGGCTCATCCATCACCTTAACTTGAAGGAGAGCCCACCAATGGCCTGACTGGTTGCACCAGTGACCTGTGAGGGAGAGGTAGGCATGATCTCCACCCTGGCTGCTCCAGATGTCTGAGATGAAGGGTAAGGCCACCTGTGGACCTGTCTTGCACAGCTCCTCCCTAAAGTACTCCCTACATGCCTCATACAGGGAGGGCACCACCGGCTTGCTGAAAGTGGTGCATGCAGGCACTTGTAGGATGGGGCCACAAGAGCCATGAGCCACTTGAACCCTGGCCACTCAAATAAGGAGACAGGCTGGCCATCCACATCATCAGATGTGCTGGAAAGTGCTCCCCAATGCTCTGAGTGATCTTTCTTGCCTTTGCAACATGCCCCCCTTTCTGTCCGCCTTTCCCCCACTATTCCAGGGTGGCCTGCCTCTGCTTGGGGGGGATGGGGGCTTTGGAGCGAGTGGGGGACTTCTTTTTGGGCATGCTCCCACTGGTGCCAGGCTGAGGAGGAGCAAGGGCAAGGGGATGGTGCCTGCAGAGATGCATCAGCATCCCCGTGGTGCTCATGTTTTGTTCCCTTGCCCTGGCTGGGTTTGGCTTGGTAGTGCAGGCAGATAGCATATGTGGGATTATCTGCCAGTTCAAAATAATCCCAGACCACACTACCCCCTCACTTCTGGGTGTGGGTGCATGTACAAATGCTGCATTTTTCCCCTCCTCAGCAGCAGAGGCACAGCAACAGAAGGAGTGGACTCAGCTGAGA